GGCGCAGTGGTGGCGGGTGCAGTCAGAGGGCAGAGGGCGCAGTGGTGGCGGGTGTAGTCAGATGGCAGAGGGAGCAGTGGTGGCGGGTGCAGTCACAGGGCAGAGGGAGCAGTGGTGGCGGGTGCAGTCAGATGGCAGAGGGCGCAGTGGTGACAGGTGCAGTCACAGGGCAGAGGGAGCAGTGGTGGCGGGTGTAGTCAGATGGCAGAGGGCGCAGTGGTGGCGGGTGCAGTCACAGGGCAGAGGGAGCAGTGGTGGCGGGTGTAATCAGATGGCAGAGGGCGCAGTGGTGGCGGGTGTAGTCACAGGGCAGAGGGAGGGTGGTGGTGTGTTGCGCCTGTCACTGTTGGGTGGGAGGAGTCAGCTGGGGTCCTGGAAAAGGGGCTACTGGTGCTGGGCCCTGGCCATGGGGTCCAAGCTGTGACTGAGGAGGCAGTGTGGGGGCTGTGTGCCGAGCGGTGTCGGGGCAGGCATCGTGCCCTCACCCCGCCACATGGCTGTGTGGAGCTGTGGCCTCAGCAGCCTTCCCCAGCCAGCGCCAGTGGGCCATACATGCGGCGTGTGCGGTCTCCCTGAGTGCTAGGAGTGTCCGAGCAGCGCCCTCTATGAGCAGCTAGCTGGGTGCTGTGCTGCTCCAAGAGGCTCGGAGGCTGGGTAACTAGTCCAAGGAAGAAGGCCAGGGCTCTGAGGCCCAAGTTATATAAACTCTCTGTCCATCTCATTTACTCCCTGCATTTTTTGGAGGGGGTGGGGGGGTCAGTCATGAGGCTTGAACTCAGAGCCAGGGCACTGTCCCTGAGCTTTGTTGCTCAAGGCTAGTGCTCTACCACTTGAGCCACAGCTCCACTTCCAGTTTTTGAGTGGTTAACTGGAGATAAAAGTCTGGAGGAAGCCTGGCGCTGGTGGCTCACGCCTGTAATCCTAGCTACTCAGGAGGCTGAGATCTGAGGATCACGGTTCAAAGCCAGCCCGGGAAAGAAAGTCCAAGAAACTCTTATCTCCAATAAGCCACTCGAAAACCAGAAGTGGCGCTATAGCTCAAGTGGTAGAGCGCTAGCCTTGAACTGAAGAGCTGAGGGACAGCGCCCAGGCCCAGCATTCAAGCCCCACAACCGACAGAAAAAAAAAGTCTCGCGGGGACTTTGCTGCGCAGACTGGCTTGATCCTCAGATCTCAGCCTCCTGAGTAGCTGGGATTGCAGGCGTGACGAGCACCCCTGCCCAGCTTGCTCCCTGCATTTTACAAGCAGGATTGTGTCTTCTGTGCCATGGCTTTAAAAGCCTAGGGGTGCCAGAGGCCCCCTCTGGAGTTGGCACGGTTGCAGGAGGAAGCCCCTCACCCAGCTGGCATGTGGGGGTGAGTCAGCAGACCTGATTTCAGGCCCCGGCTTTGACGGGGGAGAGCTCTAGGGCTGGAATGTCATATAACCCGCTCCAAGTTTGGCATCGGGGAAAGAGTAGCACTGGCTTTCCACTGAGGCCAGATGTTGCCTTCACATTCATTTGTTCACCCACTCCTTCCTTCCTTCAAGAAGGACTGTGAGCTGCTGAGAGTACCAGCCCTGTAGACCTGACAGATCAGACCTCACCAGAAAGTCCTCAGCCAGTCTGCCCTTGCTGCCCCAAGCCTGCCCCGAATGCTATGCTGGGTGCTAGGCTGGATGCTAGGGTGCTAGGCAGTAGTAGAAAATAGACTTCCTTCAGGCCCAGTGGGGAGACAGGCATTAGGTTGCTATGCAGTTGGTATACCATTGTGTGTGCTGTGAAGGGGTTCCTGGAGGATGAGCACTCGGACCCCCTCCCCCACTGCATCTCCCCCTGAGGCTGACGGCTTTGATACTACAGTACAGTCTGGAGGAGCGCCAGGCATGCTGCTGCTGCCTGCCCAGCCTAGGAGGTTGAAGCCGGAGGATGGAGAGTCCCAGGCCAGTCTGGGCTACATGGAGAGACTGCCTCTAAAGCCACCACAGGGGAGTCTCACGGCCCCTGGGGAGCTGCGGTGCAGGCCCAGGACAGGAGCGAGCGCCACCCAGGGCTAGAGAGCAGGGCCTGGAGGGAGCGCCATCTTTACCCGCCCGAGAGCTAGGATGGAGGAGGCAGAGGCCTGCACGTGTGCATTGTGGCAAGTTTGGTTTGAAGCTAAGAATGGATAGAGGCCAGCAGAAGTTGAGAAGCTGGTGTCATGGCAAGACGGGCAGTCAGTGCACGGCAGGAGACTGCTGCAGCAGCCCTCACTCATCCCATCGTGCAGGGATGAGTGCCTGTGCTCAGGCCAGCTAGTAGGTGGAACACACAGGGGCAACCTGCAGGTTTGGGGCGGGGTCAGTGGAGGACAGGGCAGTGCTGCCTGGGGTCAGCGTGGCTGGAGGTGGGAGTGGGGAGTGAGCGGAGCAGGGCCGGGAGCCCGGTCTGGCTCCATGTGCCAGGTCACGAGCACCTGCCTGCGTGCAGGTGGCAGCTGCAAGTCAGCACTAGAGCGAGCAAGGAGCACTCCCAACCAGACCGGACCGGCCCGGACCAGACCATACCGGGACGCCAAGTTCCACCCGCCTGGCCTGGATCACCCCTGAGAAGGAGAGCACTGCGCATTTTCTGAGACAGACGGTGCTTCCTCTCCATCCCAGCCCCCTCCCACCCGCTCCAGCCCTGCTGGGGCATGCCTGCCCTCTCCCTTTGTGCCTGCTGTAGCGCACAGGTGCTCCGTGTATCCAGGGTTGACAGAGACTCTGACCCTGGGCTGTAAGGATGGCGTCCCTTACTTACCTTCGTTTTGTTCATTTTTCTCTTGGAAACCTGAGACTTGGGCTAGATAAAAGGATTCGGCGCAGCTCTGGGTGGTGTGGTTCTAGGTGGAGCACTACTTTGGCTACTCATTCCTCCAGTTGACAGTGTTGGACATCGCCTTGGTCACTGGTTCACATCTGGACCCTTAGACTTTTTCCTTCAATTTTCTGCCCAGCCAGCATGCATTCTTCTTGTACTCATTTGTAATTTATCTCCTGACCTCCTCCTACACCACTTTCCCTCTCTCCCTCCCCCTCTCCCTCTCCCCCTCCCCCTTTCCCTCCCCTCCTTTCTCTCCCCCCTCCTCCCGCTTTCTCCCCCCATTTTCTCCTCCTACTGGCAATGGCTGCATATGATCCAACATAATTCGGACATAGCTGTGCAGTCCTGTTCTGTCTCATCTTTAATAGCCCGTGTCCTGAGCTACTCTATTCTAAAGTGAATATTTGGCCTTTTATCAGTTTCCATTCTATTTTCACAGAGAAGCTCTTGTCTGAAGCACAGCCGGAGGTGGGAGCGTGGGGTGATGGCAAGGGTGAAGACGAGCTGTCCCCGGAAGAAATACAAATGGTAATGCTACTCCCTGCCCACACTCCTTTAGCTCTGGCCTGAGACACCCCTGAGTAGGTCATGCTGAGTGCCCTTGTCCTGATTTTTGTATGCTTTATATACACTTACCCGCTTGATTTCCCAGTCCCTAGTATGCTTTTCATGTGTTTTAAATGTTCAGCAGCATAATTAAAGGAGAGATTGCCTCGGGATAATTTTACTAATAATAGATGTCTCCACCAGCCGTAAAATGGCCTTCTGGATTAAATGGGTCTTTAAGACTTGTAGAGAGGGTTTGATCATCGAGTGGCTGGGGTTAGGGAGATAGGAAGAAGGCCTAAGCCATGTCTTGCCGGTGCATCAGGGGCAGGCCTCACCTCCTCCTGACTGACTTGTCTGTCCCCGGGAGCCAGCGCCTGTCCCTTGTCATCTCGGGTCAGTTTTGGTAAGAGCCCTGGCAGCTCCCAGCAATGTGTCTGGCTTTCTGGATGTTAGGGTGCCAGAGGCCTGGACATTGGGGCTGCAGTGCTTGGACAGATGTTTCCTGAGGAACACCCCTCCCTGAGGCCACGCTGTCCCAGCCCCACGTCGAGAGCAGGTTCCACACAGCGTGCCTCCTCGAGGCTGGGCCTGCCTGAGTGTAGCCTCACCGGGGGTAGTGCTCCACAGCAGAGGAGCTCTATCGTACTCACCTGCACGCGGGACAGAGGCCCCTGGTTAAGTGGGAAAGCTGGGTTCCCAGCCAAAGCTCGGCCCACTAAGGATGGCTCCAGCCTTTGCCCCGCCCCGCAGACCAAGGCCCCTGTGCTGCTGTTGGCTTCGCCGAGGGCCTCCACGCAGAAGACCCTGTGCTCCGCAGGCCAGAGCAATGTCTGCGGTTATCTGTCCAGTAGGTGCACTTTAGCGAGTGCAGTTTGACAGCTGCAGGTGTTTTAAATGGCAAAGCCGCAGCTTCTGAAGGACTCCAAGGCTGCGTGTCCGTGTGGGAAGTTACATGATTTATACTATGAGCACCTGCCATCTGCCAGGGCTCTCAATCCTGGTAATGAGGAGGGAAGGACAGATGACCACTGTCACACAGCTGAAGGAAACGAGGCACACAGAGCCCGGCCGAGGCCGCCTCACGGAGCAGCACGTGAGCGCTGGCCCCCACTCCAGCTCCAAAGCCTGTGAGCACAGGTTTTGCACCCTTTTGTACCCCATCTCAGCATTCCTGCTGAGTGTGGTGACACTGGACCAGGGAAGACAACTGACACGCAGGCAAAGCGAGGGGCGGGGGAGGAGCAGGGTCAGGCCACACAGGAGTGGCTGCACACGTCATTTTGTGTGTAAGCTCACAGCTCACCGCACGCAGCTCCAGTCCCATGCTGTCGTCACCTGTGAGCGGCCGCCTGTCTGCTTTCCTGCCCTTGCCCTGGGAGCTCAAAGCCAACCCCGGACCTTTGCAGCTCGCTGTGCTCCAGCTCTGCTGCTGCTGTGTGTCTAAGCGCAGTACTCACGTCTGTCCATACAAGAACGCTAAGGAAGCAGCTCCCATCCTCTCCACCTCCACTCCCCCCCACTTCCTCCGCGTAGGCTCTGTCTGGCAGGGCATGCCCTGGTGCCTCACAATGTCTAGAGTGTGGAGGGGGCCAGAGCCAGGGACTGTGGTCCAGGTGGAGAGAGGACATGTGGGAGAAGCCCTGGGTCTGGTGTTCTCAGGGGCAGGTGTGGAAGGAGGGGAGCCTGGCGTTTTCTAGGAAAGGAGGCCCAGAAGACAGGCCGGCGGGTGCAGACAGGTGGAGTGTGCCTGTGGACGTGGTGGCAGGCATCTGGCGTGTGGTGGGGCTCTGGCTGCAGATGTTAGAGCGTGGAGGATGCTGAAGGAGGGGTCCTTTAGACCCAATACGCACAGGCACGAAGGAGGTGTGGGCATCTCCTAGCGACGCAGCGCTGGTGGCAGAGAAGCCCACAGATGAGAACGGCTCATCACGTTCCCTTCTAACAGCTAAATAATGATAGAAGATGCTTAGAAGCTTCCTTTTTTTCCTTACCAATTTATATAGAATGATGTCATTAGTGGAAAGGAGTTATGGGCCCCCAGACGTCTTGGCAGTGCTGCATTGCTAGGCATAAACGTGTACAGCCTCATCTCTTCATTAAGAAAGAACACATTTGTGGTTGGATGTGGTGATCCATGCCTCTATTCCCAGCTGCTCAGGAGGCAGAGATTTAGAGGACTGTAGTTTGAGGCCAGCCCAGACAAAAATTTGTGAGACCCTGTGTCAACAGATACGCTGCATAGTGCTGGTGTGTATAACCCTTGCCAGGCAGGAAGCGTGGGTAGCAGGATCTTGGCTGGCCTGGTCAAAAACACAAGACCGTATAAATATAACCAAATTTTGGAATATCTGGGCACATGGCTCAAAGGATAGAGTGCTTGCCCAGCAAGCTTGAGGCCCTGAGTTCAAACCCCCATAAACCCTATTTTCTTTTTAAAACGAAACTTGAAGGGAAGGAAAAGGGAAAAGAAGAGAAAAACACATTTCTGTTTGAGTGCTAAGTAAGTTCAGTTGTGCTCCTGACCATTTTTCATGCAGGAAATAACCACAGCAGGAAGAGGAGTTCTCTGAGAATTTTCTCTTTCCCACTGAGGTAGCGATGAGCAACCAAGTTCACGTAACCCTTGCAGACGTGTGGCCCAGAAGCCCTGGCTGTGCACAAGGTGCGCCCAGGCAGCCCACCAGCTGCCACCGTGCTCCCCCCTACCTCCCCCTCCCCCCCAGATGATGAGAGCTCTGGGCTGAGCCCGCCTCATCTCACTGCCCGTGCAGTTTGGGGAGAGGAAGTTGGTTTCAGCTGGGGTGTGTTCCTCTGGAACTGTGACGCCTGGAGAAGCAGGTGCAGGCGCGGGGGCTGCTCAGCTCCTGCACAGGCTCATAGCCCTCGCACGCGCCAGGCACATCCCCAGTACAGTCAGGCCTGTCAGCCTCGCCGTGTCAGCTTCTCAGGACCCGTGTCATCCCTTGTGTCACCGCAGTGGCTGGGGCTGGCACGAGGGGTCCTTTCACAGCAGTGCACTTCATGTCCAGTTCATAGCTTCCCTAATAGGGAGTAATCGTGAAGTGCCATGTCGTATATCTGACTCTAACCCAAATTCTATCTTAAAGGCTTACTCCTGAAAATGAAGAGAAAATACCACACTATTGGTTTTCAGTTGAAAAGTGGTATAGCAAATTAGAGTCACAATTCATAATCACTCTTTCAGAATTTTTCCTTGGGGCGTAATAATGAATTAGGCCTGATCGTAGCAATTCATTACTTCACTCAGAACAGTTGTTACAGATCCCAAGATGGGCATGTGGAGGGTTTGTACATCAAGTTTCCATTTATAACTCCTGATACAGGTGTAGCCAGGTCTTTGGGTTAGCAGAGGCAAGTTTCCTGGTCAGGTTGAGAATAACCAAACTCTTTGCTAATGTTAAAATTCTTCCCTTTTTTGGGCTGGGAAGTTGGCTCAATGGTAGAGCACTTGCCTTGCATGCCTGAGGCCCTGGGTTCGATTCTTCAGCACCACATAAGCAAAAAGAAAAAAGCTGGAAGTGGCGCTGTGGCTCAAGTGGTAGAGCGCTAGCCTTGAGCTGAAGAGCTGAGGGACAGCGCTCAGGCCCAGAGTTCAGGCCCCACGACGGGACCAAAAAAAAAAATTCTTCCCTTTTAAGCCCATCTTTATTTTACTCAAAACCCACCTGCATTTAAGCCCCAGTATCAGCATACACTAAGAAAAATTAATTTTATGGAAGTACGTAACTGTGGTTTTTTACCCACTAAACCAGGTTAGAAGCCTTTAGTGGAACCCCATTGGAAAGTCTAGCTGCCTTCTGGAAGGCCGTTCATGATGCTACCTCACACGCATGGCCACTGTGAGCACGTCGGGCCCATTTTACACACAGCCGAAGTCTCCTCTCCAAAGTCACCCAGTGCCCAAGCCCTAGGCCGCCAACCGTGATGCTGTGTGGTTAGGATGCAGGGAGAAGGGCACGGAGGGAGCAGTCTGGCCAGAGCGTGGCGCTGTGTCTGGGTGGAGGCTAAACCACACAGCAGATGAGGCACCGGAACCTGAAGCATGACCCGCCCAGCTGCATGCTCCAAGGCCGCTTGCCTGCCCACCTGGGCCTCTGCTCTTCCTTTCAGTTACTTTCAGGGTTTGTCAGCTGTGTCACTATGACAAAATACCTCAGACAAACAACTTGAGAGGGGAATGACTTATTTGGGCTCATGATACCAGAGGTTACAGTCTGTGGTCTGCTGGCTCGTGGCGGGTGGGGGTAGTGGAGAGAGCTGATCATTTAGTGAACAGCCAGGAACTGACCTAGTGAGACAGAGGAGCTGGGACAAGATACAGCCCCTCCCCCAGGGCAGGCCCCAGTGACCTCCTTCCTTCAACTAGATGGCGCCTCCCCAAGACGCCATCCAATCCAGAATCTGTTAGCAGACTAGATCAGAGCATTCATGATCCAGTCACCTCAGTGATGGTCCACAGCCTTCAACTTGAGCCCTACAGAAAGGTGCTTAGTATCTAGTAGACAGGAGTACTTGTGGCCAGGTTGTGTTTTCTGGGTACACAGACACTAGAGGGTAGCTGTGTACGTCTTTCCCAGTGCCTCAGAGCAGGAGATGGGTAGGGGGCTCCAGACATCTTGGCACTCTAGTCATGTCGTTCACTGAGAGCAGTCTCATGTATGATGCACACATGTCAGCAACTTGCATGTTTCAGTTCTTGTGTTCCTACTCACAGCCCTGCTTAAGTGCTGATGTCCCCATTCTAGTGACAGAGGTGAGGAAAGTTCCCTGCCCAAGGCCACAGTGCTCCCCACAGCTAAGACTCCCCAGGCTACCTGCAGAGAGACTGATGTACCTACCACCCACTGACTGGCCCAGGGCCAGCCACCCACATGTCCCATTGGCCAAGGGTCAGGTCAGTAAATAGTGACCGAGCACTTGCCAGGAGTAGGGAGTCTTTTGTCCCTCGTTTTCAATGGAACCCACCCTCTGAGGGGAGGTGCTCTTTGTGAAGCCTGGGGCACGGAGAACCGGTGGGGAGCGAGGAGACCGGCCAGAACCGGCGTGTGCACCACTGTGAGCCTCGGCCAGTACCACCTTCCCAGACTGGAAGAGAGGCCAGCACTCCACCACAGGCCAGCTTTGTCAAGAGTCGTCCAGACCACGAGAGTCTGTTGAGGAACAGGTTCAAAGCTTAAAAGGGCTGTGGATTTAAAATGACAGGACTGTATTTATCATTAGAAAAGTTCTTTGAGCTTTTGTCCCACTGGAGGGGAAAAAAAACACCTGAGTAATACCTGAGTATTAGTGGGTGAACATAGCACCTGCAAGCCAAGTAATTATAGGTTGTCCTTAAATACTGGTCTCTTGGTCACTGATGTGTTGAAAGTTGACAGAGCAGATACTTTCAAACACAAAAGTGAAATCTTTATTCTCTTTAAATAAACAGCCTCTCCGCTGCTAAATTCAAACCCCAGTCGCAGGTTGGGCAGCCTCTGTGGCCGAGTGGTCCTGCGGGAGTCACTGCCGCCCTCCGGATAGTTTGGCCAAGCCCCTATTTTCTGTCCTAGTAGATGGGGACAGAGCAAGGCCTCTGCGTTAGAGTGAGCCACGGGGCCAAGAACCGGTACCTGGTCATGTGTCCGTCCGTCCAGCCTTGAACTAGCTGAGAACTGTCAGGACAGAGCCCAGCGTGGGGGAATGGAGGAAGCAGCTCAGCGGCTTGCTGAGAGGCCAACCGATAAACCAGGCCAGGCAGAGAGCTCAGAAAATTGGATGGGCACACGTGCCGTGCGAAAGATGGAGGTGCTCATGGTGGCAGATGATGCCGTGGTGGATCACAGACGAGGACACCGTGCCTCGGACCTGCTCTGCAAGGTCTGCAGAGGGTTTGGGGCAGCAGGGGGCAGTCTGCCTGGACTCGGTGAGCAAGGAGCAGGGGACACCTGGAAGTGGGGGTGGCAAGTGGACAGGTGACTGAACACGTGACAAACTGGGTCCTCAGTGGAGCCTGGGGAGGGGAAGGGGGGCTCACGCCTGTGCCCGCCCGCCTTCCCACCGAGTGCCTGGCACTGAGCATCTCTGTGGCTTGACAGCAGATGTGATAGAACGGCTGGCATGTGTGCTCCAAGTTGGGCTCCACCCAGTTCTCGCCCGAGTTGGCTCAGTCACCAGGGAGTCTGGAGCGTGGATGACGTACCCCATGGCCCAACATGAATGGTGGCATCCTCAGGTATTTTTAGCAAATGCTAAGCCACAGATAGAAAGATGAGAAAGGACTTGGCACTCAGGAGCCAACCCAGCTCCGCTGGAGCGGCTGGCATTGGGCCACATGGGAGGAGCCAGCGCCGGGCCCTGAGCCGCTGTGGCACCAGGAGGGTCATGGTCTCAGGTGAGGAAGGTGTTGGCAGTGGTCAACCTCAGATCTTGTCTTCTTTGGAGTAGCTCTGCCCAGTTAACTCAAGATGGCCTTTACTCCCAGACATGAGCCCCCGAGGCCTGCCCCGGCCTAACCACTGGACAGTGCATCTCCTCCAGTTCTGCACCCCTGTCCCTGTCAGGTCCGGCCAGAAGTCTGTGGGCCTGGTCAGCCTCTTCCCTTCCTTCTCTCCCTGTCCAAATCCTCGCCGCACCACGTCCTTCTTCATCTAAAAACACTGCTACCAGACTCAGGCAGCTGTGGTGAGCAGTGTGCTCAGCGGGAGGAGAGTGGGCGGTCAGAGGCTGACCTGAGGCTGTGTCCCTCCCCCATACCACACAGCAGGCGTCACATGGGGGAGACGGCGGGGGGGGGGGTTCCCCACACTGGCTCATGATCCCTGGCACACCCGGGGTGGCCGTGATGTGAAGGGAACAGGTCTCAGGGAAAACCCATGCCTGACTCGGTGTGACGTCATCCGGTATCTGCTTCCTTGCAGTTTGAACAAGAAAATCAGCGGCTCATTGGAGAAATGAACAGCCTGTTCGATGAAGTGAGGTACGCATGCAGATGCCGGCAAGCGCCTGGCCTGCTTGGCCTTTGCAAGAACTGGGAACTGTATTCATTGGCTTTGGTGCCAGGCAGAGTGACTCGCACGCATATCCAAACCACGGCGGCAGGGCTGGGCTGGGGCAGACACTGCCCGGTCCATGACCTTTGCACTCGAGGGCCTGCGGAAAGAGTCCAGCCGCCTGTTGCCCAGGCTCCCCGGAGCCTGGCCCCTCAGAGGGAAGCAGTGTGTTGACGGAGCACCCCACGGCAAGGGTCCACCCCCACAGCACGGGGCTGACCACCATGGTGTCCTGGGCAGGGCAGGCACCTGTGCCCCCCCAGCCCCCCGCCCCCCATGCTGCCTCCCACCTCCGCCTGCCTGATGGCCTCTGCCTTGTGCTGGAGTCGCATTGCTCGGCCTGTGCCTGCTTCTGTGTCTGCTTCTCTTTCTAGACAGACAAGGCCCCACCCACCCCAGGTGCCCCTGTGCCCCTGAAGTGTTTCCAGCCAGGCAGAGGCTCAGCTGCCAAGCCAGATGTGACCTTTGCAAACTGGAGGGGTTTTCCTTGCAACAAGGAGTTGACTAGGAGATAGGTTTTCTTCAGGTTGAGGCATTAGCATGCTGTCTTGGCTTTTGAATGCCCAGCCTGTGTTGCTAGGTAACCAGACTAGGCCCAGGACTTCGTCGTGGAGATTGCCTTTTGTAGCACAACTCTGTCTTCCCGGGTCCCCAGAAAGTGGCCCAGGATGCAGAGGACACTGACCAAGCCCCCTCTTGGGTCAGTTTCCACCCAGTGCATAGGATCGAGCCTGGACACAGGAAGGTGACAGCAGTGGAGGTCGATGTCCCAGCCCAGCTCTTCCTTGCCTGGCATGGCCTGCCTGCCTGCTGCTCCTCTCCTGAGGGACAAAATGCTTCCCCTAGAGACCTGGCCCAGGGCTCTGACTGCCAAGGGCTGACTTAACGTGTAACCTATCGATTCTTCTTCTGATGCAGGCAAATTGAAGGGAAAGTGGTTGAAATTTCCAGACTCCAAGAGATATTCACCGAAAAGGTTTTGCAACAGGTAAGCAAAATCAAAAGCACAGTAGTTTTAAGGTATAGCTCTGAAGGGTCCGGTCTGCAGATGGGAGCAGAGCCAGGTGCTGTAGCCAGTGGCACCCACAGAATCCTCAGGCCAAAGCCTCTAGGGCTGGGGGAGGGGGGAGCAGTAGCAGAAGCAGGATGCAGTGGGACCTGGGGCTCAGGCCAGGCGGCTGTTAGTCCTGGCTGCCCCCAAGAAGGCTGGATAGCCCCTCTGCTCTTCCCATCTGCCCTCTCTGAAATGGGGTGGCCCTGCAGGACTGCTGTAGGGTTCAGAGGTGCCTGCAGAAGCACCTGTGCAGCCTGCAGCGTTAGGGGAGCTCAGCCACCCTGCAGTGGGCCCACGTCTGCGCGGCTCTTCTGCCTACATTTCTGGAAGCGTTTCTTTGGGGCGCCCTCCGCTGTGGAAGGGTTTGAAAGTCCACATTTTTCTGGGTGGCCCCAGGAGAGCCTGTGTGTGAGGCTGCCGCGTGGGGCCACTTGAGCCGTGTGACGTGGGCCCAGGCCCTGGGCTCAGCCCTTCCCCGGCTGGCTCCTCCTGCCTGGCAGGGCTGGCACCTGTGCTTCACGTAGCCGGAGCCGGAGACGCTGGCGCACAGGGCCTCACAGGCTCTCACGGGAGCGCAGCCCCGGGCAGGGTGGTGGGCACGGTGCCGCTTCCTGGGCCGGCAGCCGTCTTGGAGGAGTCCCTGAGGATTCCGCTGCTGTCAGGACTCTGCATCCGTGTCCCGGGACAGCTGCCCCCCCCCACACGCAGAGGCACGCAGCGCGGGGAGGGGCGCCCGGGAGCCGCCGCCCCACCTCCCCAGGACCAGGAAGTGTTTCTTGGGTTTTCATCCGCGTTGTGGGTTCGTATCACACACCTCACCGGAGCGCGGCAGGGGTCAGTCCATTCAGAAGAGAACAGTGCTGGCCCACACAGCTGAGAGGGGGCCAGCAGGACCCCCAAGTCCCTCCTGCTCCTCCGGGCTGACATACGAGCCCTGTGCTTGAATGGTGACTGCCATCACCCTGTCCCGTGGGAGACTGCGACCCCATGTTCCCTCCGCTGCTCACACAGCGCCTCCGCCCCACGCACTGTTTTTGAAGCAAGCACGTGCTTACACACACGCCGTGCCGAAGCTTACTCGTCTGGACCCTAGGGAGGGGGACAGAGACCCGGGAGCCCCGGCGTGTGGCCGTCCATGCACAGCTGCTCCTTCGCGGAGCTTTGTCTCCCCTTCCTAGAAGCGGGGTGCTGTCAGGTTCACGGGCTCTCGTCAGCAGAGAGGAGGGCCCCGTGGCTTTACCCTTTCCCTCCGCAGGAAGCCGAGATCGACAGCATCCACCAGCTCGTGGTTGGGGCCACTGAGAACATCAAGGAGGGCAACGAGGACATCCGGGAGGTGGGTGCTCCTGAGCCCTGGGAGAGGGGTGGGAGATGGTACCTCTAGACCCCAGGTGGTGTGTGTGGGGGGGGGTACTTCCGGGTCCCAGGTGGGCAGGAGGAGGAGGGGGGTGCTCCCAGGCTCTGGGAGCGGGGAGAAGGGGTTCTCCTGGGCCCCGGCCACAGCATTTCCACTGGCAGGGCGGCCACAGCCCGATGGGGTGGGCCCAGGCCCCCCTGCAAGTGTGTGGCCCTGGGGTCGCAGTCAGGGCCGGCCAAGCGGGGCATGGCCGAGGACACAGGTGTCCCGCAGCTGCTCCCCTCCCCCCCCCCCCGTGGTGGTGCTGAGGTGCGGCTCCCTGCGCTCTGAGGAGTGGTGTGCTGAAGGCCCTGGCCGCTGTGCGAGACCCCAGGCCCGCTGCCTCGTGCCCCAAGCTCTCCCCGGCCCGGCCCGGCCCGTACTCTGGGATGGAGAGAGAGAGAGAGAGTGTGTGTGCGCGCGCGCGCCCTGGATGGAGTGTGTGTGTGTGTGTGTGTGTGTGTGTGTATGCGCGCGCGCGCCCTGGGGGACGGGGCAAGACCTCCAGGGTTCGGGGCTCTGCAAGGGGCAGAAGTGCCACCTCCCTGTCCCCGGTGGGGCTCTATCTGGCCCCTCTTAGTAAGCAGGACAGCAGTTGGAGAAGGGCAGCAGCGCTGTGGCCCGGGGGGAGGGCGGCGCTGCGGTACCCATCCCTCCTCTGCCCGGCAGGCCATTAAGAACAACGCCGGCTTCCGCGTGTGGATCCTCTTCTTCCTGGTCATGTGCTCCTTCTCGCTGCTCTTCCTCGACTGGTATGACAGCTAGCTCGCGGTGGCCGAGGCTGCATGGACCTCTCAGACACAGCCGGCACCCTCGGGCTCGGTGCCAGGGCACGGCCGTGCCAGGTGGATGATGGGAGGGCAGCGGCTGAGACAGGAACTTCACGGAAAGGAAGCCGAGGAAGGCAGCCCGCTGAAAGCTGGGAGGCACAGGACTGGAACGTGTGGAGGTGGCAGGGCCACGTGGCCAGCAGCCTCTCTGCCGAGACCACGTAGGGCGTGAGGGGCCTGTTCACCCTGCACACGTCGTTGGCTCTCCTGCCCTGCCCAGCCCAGGAGGCTCAGGCAAGACCCCAGCTAGAAGCACCCCTCCCAAAATGGCTGTCTCTTGCTTCCTGTGGCTTCTTGCCTGCCCGAGTCCCTGATTCCAAGTCGGTGTCGTGGAACAGTCCACGTGAATGTAATAAATGTGACTCCAGCCAGTGCTGCGTCGTTGGTTTGTCTACACTGGGGCTCTGAGGCGCAGCCCACCCTCTGCCTGGCCCAACCCCAGACGCTGCTCCCATCAGGCCCCAGAGGAGCAGGCCTGCCGCTACCCCTGTGCCGCGCGCTGCCCTCCTGAGAGCGGCCACAGGCTCACCCAGGGGTAACCGAGAGCATGTGGCCTGTGGCCCGGATGGTCTGGCATCTGGTGGGCAGGAGCCAGCTCCCATCGCCCCCGGCCAGACAAGTATGTGAACAAGCAGTGCCCAGAGGCTGCGAGCTCTTTATTTATTTACACACACTGAGATGTGAGAAGTTACGTGGGAACACACAGTAAACAAGTTCACGTCTGCTAAAACACACACGCTTGCCAACCCACGTGTGTGTGGTCATGTGCAGGACACACTGGGCACACCTTGGTTGCCCTTCGTGCATTCCTGCCAGACAAATGCGCCCCTGCACGGGCACGCCTCCACGCTGCCATCACGCGAGACCTGTGCCGTTCAGCCACACAACAGAAGCCCCCCTCAGGGAAGAGCAGCGGGACCAAGGTCCTCCTCAGCTTCTTCTGATCTAAACAAATGAAACTCTCCGACATGTCCACCAGAAAACAACACATTCAAACGACAGGGAAGAAAGTGTGATCGCTTTTATCCATTTAATTGTCATACACACTTGCGTTATCTAACTGGCAATTTTGTAAACATATACTTTAATGTCAAGATTCAAGTTGAAACATAATTTTCTTACAAAGATTGTGGGTTGAAATGTCCTACTTGCAAGTGCCACCCCAGCCCACCCCCAGCCTCCCTGCCAGCTCCCTCCATCAAGGGACTCAGACCTGGTCCCGGAATCAAAGCTACCGCAGCCCGGCTTGCTCAGGGAATGATGGCTTTCCCACCACGCTGCCTTTCCAAACCTAACATTCATAACAAGTGAACGAAGCGGCTTCTCTCTCCCTGTGGCCACACCCCCCAGATGACAGCCACCCATGCCGAGTATTGCCACCCCTGACCCCAGCCCTGTCTCCTGCTCCCCCACCCCGTGTTCTCCCAGCCCACTCTGGGCACCATGATTGCCCAGATGCCAGAGACAGCGGGGACCCACAGACAGCGTGTTAAGACCATGCCCTTGGGGCTACGCAGTCGATACCAGCAGGGGCACCTGGCTGTGCCACCTGCTGCTCTACACCTCCCTAGGGTGCAGCTCTGCAGGTGGCGCTGGCAACAGCCGGTGGGAAGCGGGAAGCCGGATCACTCCAGTTATGGCTACGGAGTAAGGTTTGCAAACAGCAAGGTAGTTTTAAGGGGGGAAATGAGAAAAATGCATGAGTCATGATCTTTAGTCCAAACCCCTGGCATGTCCGGTGTCACTTTCTGACCGGCACCGGGCACATGCCAGTGGGGCGTCCTCACTGGAGACGGTGGTGGCAGAGCTCTTTAAGCAAGGCCCGTGTGTACTTGGTCTGACACCATGGGTGGTCGGCAGCAGGGTTTTTTTGCAAAGCAGCAGTAGCAAACAGAAGCGATTGCACCTTAATGAGTAACCTCTAACTTATCGGTAATTATATGTAATGAAACGTCCCGCGGAGTCCCTTCGTTACCTTCAAGTGACGCACTGTAAAGAACTTCCCCAGCTTGCTAAGCCGCCTTCTCCGCCGCTTCGGTCTCCTGCTCCGACAGCTTCTCCTCCGACAGGACCGACATCCAGGGCGACACGGAGCGGGTAATGCTCTGCTTCGCCAGGTTGTAGTGGTTGATGACGGTGTAAAACTTCTCCCGGGCGCTGGAGTCTTGCTCCGCGTAGTAGCTCTCCAGGCCCTCCGGGATGCACTGGGTGTTCTGTAAGACAAGGCAGCCGTGGAGGTTCCGGGGGTGCCACACGGCCCTCGGCTGGCCCCTCCCTCCCCAGTAGGTCCCCAGCGCCTTCTCTGGGCTTGGAGAACCAAGCAGCCAGCCCGATGGGCAAAGGCGGCGTGGGTCCTGTCCTCAGAAGCACAGCTGCGTGCCAGCCTGGCCCTGACGAGGCCTCAACCACTGGGCATCCAGCAGATGCCACAAACCGCATTTCCTGGGGACGGGTGGCAGGACAGTCAGCTTCACCAAATAAGGTCATTTGTTTTGACGCAGTCACTAGAAGACGAGGGCACGTCTTGTGCGGCGAGGACATCCTGTGGGACGGGCTGGGGCGGGTGGTGCGGCCATGCTGTCTCCCGCCATCTCCCTCCTACACAAGCTCACCCGGCAGGACGGGCTTGCTGGCAAGGGAGCGCGAGTGGGGCCAAAAACCCAAAGGGAAGCAGCATGGGGTGCAGGGGCTGCGGTGGGGGCTCAGCCCCAGTGGATCTGGGGATCAGGTGCCCTGAGTCTTGCCTTTGGCTCCTCCCCAATGACATCAGCCTCTTGGTCCAGATCATCCCTGGTCCTCCCTCCCCTTTGACTCCTCCCCTGCCCACACTGCTCAGTCCAGACCTCCTCTTTCCTGGCTCCCGGCAGCCTTCCAGGTGGCCCCAGGGATTGGCTCTCCTGTCTCCTTCAGAGGCCCTTGTCTGACACTCAAGATGCTGCACAGCCTGGCCATAAGCTGGGCATCTCCCGTCCTCCCGTGTACCACAGCTGACCCCAGGGCATGGTTCCACCTGCGCTCTCCACGCGTCCCTCCACAGGCTGGGCCACCTGGCCCTCAGGCTTGGAAGCCTGCCACCTCTCCAGACACCCACCCAGGGTGTGGATCAGGAGCTGCTGCACCTCACACGGGCTACACTGGGGGCTTCCCTGTGCTGGGGACACTCCCTGGAGACTCTCCCTTTTGTCCCTCCTGCCCCTTCTGTCCTGTTCCGCTCCCGCCTCACTTGGGGTGCCTCTGGAGGGTGCAGGGCTTTGTGGGGGCAGGATTTTTGCCTGGCTGGCATACGCCACCTGGGACAGCCAGAGCTCCTGGCATGCGGTGGCACCCAGGGTGATGGGAGGGCGGAGGGTGGCCACACGCCGTGGAAGGAGCTCTGCCAGCTCCCGGGCCGTGCAGAGCCCTGAGGCCGAGGGGGCTTGGCGCATGCTCAGAACCAGGAATCCCTGCTCCTCCTCCTGCTTCATTCGGACCTGAGCTGTGACAAAGCCTGGACAGAACCATGTGCCATGAGCTCTGGAAAGTTCTGAACCGGACACCGAGTGGAGAGCCACGAGGACCCCAGCACGGATGAGCTTCCCTCCGCAGGCCACCCCTCCCCAGCTTCCTCTCTAGTTCTCTGCCCTTCATCCTGCGTCCCACGCGGGCTCTTCCGTGCCACGGTAGCTCTGAGGCGGCGGGATGGGAAGGAACTGAGCGAGCGTTTCTGTGCCCGGCACAGCTGGCAGAGGAGCAGCAGACCAGGCAGCAGGCCTTGGACACCCAGCCTGCTTCCCTTTTCTCCCCAGGCCTCGGCTCCCTGCAGACACAGCTCAGCTCCCAGGACCAAGTCCAGGGGTTCAGTCCTGTGGGACCGGTGCACCAGGCCCTCTGCCTGCACGCCAGGCTCCCCAGCCACCCCTTCAGCAAGGAGCCCTCTGCAGAGCACCACCCCCGCTGTGGGGCCTCAAGGTGAAGAGAGGGAAGAACTGGACGGGTTGGGCCGGTGGGGAGGAATGAATGGGGTTTACCTTGAGGACAAACCCATCGGGGCAGGCGCGATCATACTTGTACACCTTGTAGACCACCAGGAAGACGACGCAGGTGAGGAAGGCCAGGGCGAAGAGGACCAGCACGGAGACCTAGAAGAAGAGGCAAGGACTGTCAGGGGGCTGGCAGGACAGATAGACAGGTGCAGACAAGCACGCGCACACGCGCGCACACACACACACATACGTGTATTGCAAGAGCACATGCAGGCTCTAGAAGAGGCACCAGGTATCTGGGAGGAGGCAGCCACTGAGGCTGGGGGGTAACCAGATGGCTGTTGAGCCCATTTCTGTCTGTCGCCTGATCTATGCCACCTCCAGTTTAGATGGGCTCCTTTATTCCAACCTTGTTCAGAGAGCTCCAGCTACAGATAGGATTTTTTTTTTTTTTGGTCAGTTTGGGTCTTGAACTCAGGGCCTGGGTACTGTGCCTGGCTCTTCAGCTCAAGTCAAGTGCTCTACCACTTGAGCCACAGCACCACTTCCAGTGTTCTGGTAGTTTTTGTGGAAATAAGAGTGTCATGGGGGATGTGAATGGTAAACAAAGGAGGAGGCTGCAATGCTTGGTAAGAAATGTATGCATTATCCTGCCCATGTAATTGTAACCCCTCTGTACAGTATGTTCACAAATTAAATTAAATTTAAAAAAAAGAGTGTCACGGACTTTCCTGCTCAGGGTGGCTTTGAACCGCGATCCTCAGATCTCAGCCTCCTGAGCAGCTAGGATGACAGGCGTGAGCCACCGGTGCTGGCCAGATATGATTTTTGTTTAGGAAGCCGAGGTGTGGACACAGCTCACGGGCAGCTCCAGGGAGGCCAGGAGGAGCCAGATGTGGAACTCAGGGCCCAGCATCTGGTCCGGGACAGCCTCGGGGGCGAGGCTGCCTCCCCTCCCAGCCCCAGCAGCCAGGGCCTGCCGAGCCACTGGGACCGCTTCCTCGGCCACACACACAAAGCCACAGTCCCCCAGGCAGGCACTGGGGGCTCTGCTGCTTCGCAGGCCACCAGAGAAAACAGGAGCTCACGAGGACCCCTGAGCCCTGGCAGCCTCAGGAGCCCGGCCTTTGTCCTCTGGGGACCGCGGGGCCTGTGGTTCCTGTCTGAGAAAGGGGCACATGGGCGTCCACAGGGCCAGGGTGCTGGGTCCTGGGGTAACATTACAAGTGAGCGTGTCCCCCTCCCAAAAATGAAGTTGCCCTGAAGTCTAAGCCCAGGCACCTGTGACCGTGGCCTCATTGAAAGTCAGGCTTCAGGATGGATTGAGGGATCGCCAACGGCGTCCGTCAGTCCAGGCAGGCCCCCTGGAAGAGGGAAATGTGGACACACAGCGGGGGAGAAGGCCAGGCCCGGAGGGACACAGCCACAAGCACGCAGCCCCCAGCAAAACGCCTTGGTTTCAGAAGGAAAAGGATTCTCACACAGGTTACACAAGACAGACCCCACCTGCCTTTCTTTAGACCAAGGCTTGCCTCCTTCGGAACAGGGGAGGGCCAAACTGGACATTCATCTCCCCCCCCAAGTGACCAGCTCTGTTATCACTTGGTGGTCACCCCACCCTGCAGGTGAGACATGCCACAAACGGATCCATCTTGAAAATGTGACACTAGGTGGGAATCCAGATCTAAACGTTGCACATCACGTGACTCCTGCCAGACCGGGGGCATCCCTCCCCAGGGACAGACAGGAGGAGGGGCGTGGCAGAGGCAGCTTACTAGGCACGGGACCTCTTGTTTAGGGAACATGAAAAGGCCCTAGGACTAGACAGTAAGACAGTAGCACATTATGGAGGCTGTTGAACTGTACATTCCACCATTTCCACAGTATTTTAGCTACAGCCTTTAGAAAATAAGCCAGAGGAGGGAGGCAGAGGTTGGAGGATGTCTCGGGGTGCCGGGGATCCTTGTGGGACAGGAACGGTGCTGTGCAGGGGTCAGGCAGCACGCACTGGGTGGACAGTGCCTGGCGATGGCCAGCCTGCCGGCTGCTCACTCTCTGTCCTCCCTCGGGGGCGGGGAGGGGGGGAGGGGGCCTGTTGGTTAATACAGTCTTCCCTCCTCCAAAAACAATCTTGAGAAAAGATGAATCCTGACATCTCTGTGGCTACAGCACTAAGTCCTCTCCGTAGCCCAGCCAGACAAGAGTGTTCAGACACGGGCTCCCCTGCCCCCCCGGGCAGCCCCCCCATACCACCACCCTCATCCCAACACAGCCCCCTCCACAGCTGGACCTGGAGCTTGCGGATTCCGCAGATGCTGCTACCGCTGACCAAATCCCACAGGACACAGAACCGCTGACCGTAACCACTGTCCAAACACCCTTCTAGGATCTCAGCTACCAGGGAAGATTCCCCCCCCAACACACACACACACACATACACACACATACACATGCACGCACGCACGCAGACACGCACAGATGCACACACACACCCACATTGCTCAATGCTAAGGAGTGTCGCCATTCATAAATATTTAACAAATGCGTCTTGGAGCACACCAGGGGATTATTAGAGAGGGTGGAAGATGGGCACCCGGGAAGCTCAAGGTCATTAAGATGTGAGAAAAAGAAACAAACCACCCACACAACCTTTGTGACAGGAAGCCAAGGGACACCTTGCTGCAGCAGCGCTGGCAGGCTCCAAGGACTAGACAACCAGATCTCAGGCTGCACCCCCCCAATACTCCCCCAGAAAGACATCCGCGGGGGAAGGCTGATCTTGGACTCTCACCTAGGGACAGGTTAGGGGTGTGGCCTGAGCTTCCTCACCCTTAGCTGAAAGGCAAAGCTCAAAAAACAATCTGTTCCTCTCCATGCCCACAGCCTGTATGTGGCAGGATACAGGATAGGGAACCTTCCTGAACCTGCCTCATGCTGCACCCTGGGTCTTCCAAGATTGGGAGGGCGGCACTCAAGAAACAGCACCCCGCAGCACAGACGGTAATACACGGCTTAAAAATAGGTCTATGCATAGTTCATTTGAGAAACAGCTCAGCCCAGGCTTATTCTCAGCGTCAGTACACCTCCAATTAATTAAATGACCGCTTTCCTCCTTGTCATAAGCCACATCAGGAGCCTAGACTTTTGGCCGCCAAAGGAGTGATTCATCCTGCCATCCCTTGTGTGGCAGAACAGTACAAAGCCTTTCCCTCCGCCAGCTGTTACCTAGCAACCAACCTAGCAACCTTGTAGCCAAGAGATTAATCCTCCCTTGATAATCATAAAGTAACATCCAAAAAAGATGCTTTGTCTCAAGGATGCCATCCAAAGGAATATAAAGAGGAGGCTCGTGAACTACACAAATGAGAGTGTAGAGGAAGCGCTGTTGACTTGTTGCTTCCACATCGGGGAGACGCAGAACGCCTTGCCTCGGTTCCCACACACACAGCTGGGAAGCAGGCATGCAGAAGTCGCCAGGTCACCCAGGCCCAGGAAGGTGTCCTGGCCCCCACCGCTGTCATTAGCTCCTGGTGGAAGAGGAACACAGCCAGAGCCAGCTGGTCCTCCACGTCTAACTTCTTGTTCCTCTCACCCCCTCGCACCCCAGTTTTCACAAGGAGAGGCCTCCATTCATTTATTTATTGTCAGTTATGGAGTTTGAACGCTGGGCCTGGGCGCTGTTCCTGAGCTCTTCAGCTCAAGGCTAGCACTCTACCACTTGAGCCACAGCGCCACTTATGATTTTCTGGTGGTTTGTTGGAGATGAGAGTCCCGTGGACTTTCCTGCCTGGGCTGGCTTTGAACCATGATCCTCGTATCTCAGCCTCCAGAGTAGCTAAGATGACAGGCTCGAGCCACCAGTGCCTGGCTTAGCCCCCATTTTTGACCAGCTGATGCTTAGCATGGGCTACAGGTACCTTTTGTGCAGAACTCAGGAATGACAGAAATATCGCTGGGCAACAAAAGACCAGCAAGATGCCCCAGAGAGACACGCACTCAGCATTTCCAGCCTTCCTGATCCTTCTTGCACTCAGGCTCAACCCTGCCCTCCAGCAGAAAGATGCCAAACCAGCAGACACAGAAGAGAGCAAGCTCACAGGCACCTTGCCAGGGCCAAACCTCAGACCGTCCCCAAGCAGGCGGCGGTGTGGCACCATGGAAGGTTCCCCGCCCTCTCCACGCTGGAAGCTGGCAGCATGGACTCTGGGGCCGCTACATCCTGATGATGATTCTGATTCCTAAAGGCCTTGGATCTGTCGACAGTCCTGATCAGTTGTAAGGCCCCAGGAAGTGGCCACACCAGCAAGCCAACCCGACCAGCACCTGGAGCTAGCTTCTGGTCCCCCCCATCCTGCCTGTACCCCCCTGGCTCTGGGGCCTTGGGCTGGTCACAGAGGACCCCTGTAGAGACTACTCCTCACAAATGGCCCAGAGAGAAGGCACGGCTGGTGAGCTGCCTGGCACTGAGCTTACTCAACAAGCTACAGGCCCCACAGGGGGCCTGGGAATCCCGCCAAGCCCCCTCCACGGGAGGCCAGCAGCACAATTAGTCATCCATTTACTTATCAAGCTGTTACTGAGCGTGCATTAAGCACCAGAGATGGCGCAGAGGCCCGGATGGCGGCTGGCACGGGCTCCTCCAGAGTGGGTTGTCGGCACACACAGTCCCTGCCCTCCAGTCTGGGCCAACCTTCTCGTCTCAGGGGAATGCTCTGGCCTAGTTTTCATTCCAAACTCAGGCGCCTTTACTGCAAGAGACCACCACTCTGGGCCACGCCCAGAAGGAGGCAAGGGTGGGTGCTGCCCAGGCCCTCCGAGGATGGCTCCCAAGTCCCAAGGGAGGACACCTGGGAAGCCAAGGCACAAAGCGAGAAACAAAAGGAAGAGAAATACTTCCAGAAGAAGGCACAGTAGTATGCGCCTGTAATTCTGCCAGTCATGAGGCTGAGGTAGGAGGATCTTGAGTTTGAGGAGCTTGGAAGACCTTGTCTCAAAACGTGTACACACACACACACACACACACACACACACACACACACACACAGAGCCAGGAAGAAAACATAGAATAGTGACAGGGAGGTGCTGGTGCCTGCTGGGCGGGGCAGGAGAAAGGCCTGAGCGCTCTGGGACTCATGGCAGCTGCCAGGCTGGCAGCTCCCAGAAGGGCTCAGAATGCACGAGGGGGAAAGGGCATTCAGAAGGACCCAGGGCCGAGCCTCCTCCTGCAAACCTAAACCGGGTTACCTTGGAGTCATGGCCAAGAGCAGGCTGCCCGAGTTCTGGCCTCTGCCTCAGTTTCCCCTCAAGGGTCCACTAGAGGTGCTAACAGCGCCTTCCTCAGGGCAGACGTGGCGACCGATGTGGTAACCAGCATGAAGCGCGGGGACAGTCTCACCCGAGCACGAAGCAGCTGGAACAGCACAGCGTCAGAACCCTGGACTCTGGAACCAGAGATGAGGTGAACCCACCCTGCACCCACCTAAGACTCAACAACCCCATCTGCAAAGGCGCAATAACACCCCTGCGGGGCAGCGCGCAGAGCAGCCCCTGCCCCCGGCCCCGGAAGCTCGGAGCACTGCACCAGAGGTCTGAGCTCTTCCCAGGCCTTCTGGTTCTGGGCATCCGGAGCCAGGTAACTGCACAGAGTCCCAGGCGTGGCTGCCAAGAAAAAGCCCTGGTGGCAAATGTGCGTCACCCGTGCCTTAAGCGAGGGACCTGGGGACCTCCTCCAGGTGAACGTGAGGGAAAAGCACAGCCAGGGACACCAGAGGGACACTCGGCAGGTGGAGGGGCTCTTCAGAGGTCACACAGCTCCCTGCTCTGCAGGGACCTGCAGTGATACAGACCAGGGTGAAGGCAAAGGTCAAGTCAGGCCCTCAGACCATCAGACCACCTTGACAACAGGACAGATGGGCAGTGTTGGCAGACAAGGCTCCGGCTAACCTGGCTAGCATGGAAGAGGGGGTGGTCCTGACCATGAACCTCAATCGTGTGCCAATCTACAAGCTGGGAGCCACCAACACACACACACACACACACACACACACACACACACACACACAGCTCCCACCACCTTGACCTCCTAATCTGTAAAAAGGTGCAATCTCAACAGTAGTAGGAAGAAGGTTTCAGGGAGGATCAGATGTGCTAACACAGTAAACGCTGCCAGAGACACAGAAGACGGTGACACCCTGACACCCACTGTGCCAGGCAGGCTTGAGGAGAACAGAGCGACGGGCAGGAGGAGGCAGTTATAGCCAAATAAGCCCTGGCCTTCCCCGCTCTGCAAAGCCTTCGGGCTCTCTGGCTTATCCTGTGCCCAGTGCACAGGGTGATGCCCAGGCCCGCGGTCGGTACGCCTCAGATGATCCTGAAACCAAATGGGAGACAATGGTATCCAAGGGGCCCAGAACCTGCAGAGAACCTGAGTGCCCCACATCAGCAAACTGCTCACCCATCCAAGTAGGGGGACTGGAGAGCCAGCCGGAGCCGCTGTCCAGAGCTGACAACCCACAGAGGTCTCTCGGCTCACCCTTTTGAATCTGCGTGACACGTACTGTTTGCCCTTCCCCCACGAACTTCTCAAAGACAACATCATAATCCCAACTTGTTCTTCAGTTGCTGCCACCTAGAGACCTCCCACTCAGACCAGCTGGGGCCCAGCCCGGTCGGCAGCCACTGTGCTACCCCATGACAGCTGGAAGCTAGTTAGGACAGAAGCTGAAGCCAGGGGCTGGGGTGGCCAGGCAGCTGTGGTGTACAGAGCTGTGATGACCTGTGCCTGCACCTCCCATCCATAGGATGGGACATAGGACAACCCCACCGCCACCGCCGCCGCCACCGCCACTGCCACCGCCGCCGCATGGCTGTCCATCCGTGAGCTCTCATAGGCCCAGGGCTGTGAGCCCCGTCTGGCACGGAGTAAGTATGGCCGGTTAACTTTTAGCATTGTCTACTTCCTTCCGCAGCTGCTAGGTAAATATTTTAACATGTGGCAGGTGCATTTCCATGTTTATAAGCTTTGTCTAAAACAAAGCTTGTGGCTGGGCTCTCCCTGTTTGTAAAAACAAATGATACATCTTTTTGTTGTTGATGTTGAAGATAAAAGAAAACTGCAAAGGATTAAATCCACAAGGTTAGCGTCTAGGTGGGGAGCCGGATCTGGGGTTTGCACAGCTGGGCATCCTCAGCCTAGATAAACGTGTCCCGCCCTGTTCCTGTCCCTCTGCGGGTCATCTCTGCAGCCCCGCGGACACCCTCCCCCCGCGCCCCCAGGACACAGGTGCCGGCTCGGCCCCAGGCCACTCACCTTGAACCTCTCGGTGACGCCCTCGGTGATGCTGACGGTGAACTCCGCTATCTTGGGGGAGCGCGCTTTCCCTTTCTTGCGGTCAGGTTCGTATTCCGTCTTGGTTTTCACCACCACCTAATCGGGGGAACAGAGGCAGCTATCAGGGGTGCGCCCCCTGTGCTCAGAAAACATCTGCCCCATGTGCTTGGGCTCGGGACTGGGGGGTTCAGTCACTACCTCCAAGAGCCGCCAGGGCTCCTGGGAGCTCCGTGCTCGGTGCCTGCACACGTGGACAAACGGCCCACTCTGCCTCCGAGAGCAGCTGCTCCAGGGGGAGGCAAGTAACAGGAGCCGAGGCCATGCAGGTATGGGGTCAAGGCAGGGGCAGCATGACATGAGACTCTGTCTCCAGTGCTCCTCCTACCCGCTCTCCCACAAAGGAGACACCACAGTCCCTGTCAGGGGACCAAGGGCAGAACAAGACCAGCAAGTCAGGACACTGAGTCCCATGTGAGCAGCTGGGAGCCTCAGGAGGAGGAGGAGGAGGAGGAGAAGGTGGTGGAAGAAGAAGTGGCGGTAGAGGAGGAGGAGGTGGTGGTAGAAGAAGAGGTGCAAGTGGAAGAGGAGGAGGAGGAGCAGGAGAAGGAAGAAGAGGTAGAGGTGGAGGAGGAGGTGGAGGAGGAGGAGGAAGGATGGGGGGAAGGTGGCCTGAACCAGCAGGTGACCCTGGCTTATTCAGCAGGTCGGATGGACGTGTCATTCACAGCCCCCACGTGGGCCAGCATGGACGTGTCCACCCCTTCCAGGCGCCACCCACCGACTGAAGTATCAAGTGGGTGTCACCTGCTGTTCCCGAATCCTAAGGACATCTGTGCAGCCATGTGACCTTGAGCACACGCTGGGCCACCTGGAGCACTCCCGGAACTGAGAACAAGGCTCGGGTGCACACTGCTCATCTCACTGGGAGACTGAAGAAGGACAAATCCACGGCCCCGGCCTGGGCCCATCGTGGGGACCCAGCGACTCTTCTGGTACTGCACTGCCAGGAGCAGGCGAGGTGACCTTGGGCAGGTCCCTGGCACTCTGTGCCTTCATCGCCACATCTAGGGATGGGGCAGGCCATGGTGCTTCCCTCCCAGCACTGTCAACATCTCAAGGGAGTGCCAACCTATCAACGCACAGAACAGCGCCCCGTAGACTATGAGTCCAAGAACTTGCCGGGTACCACTGTTCCCGACTTCACTGCCAGACCTGGGACTGCCCATGTCCCTGGGGCAGGTGACGCCACCTCCCTGAATACGGACTGTGAACGCACTGTCCCTGTGTGGGGGAGGGAGAGAGAGGTGTCCCACTGTGAGCACACCCTGAGAGAAGCACTGCCTGGAGAACTGTCACCTCCGCGCTGTGACCTTGGCCGTGTCCTGCGGGTACGCTGACCCTCCGTCTTCCCATCTGCTGCTCCAGCTGTGGACCCCAGGGGAATCCTTTCCCAGGAGAGCCCCCATCAGCCACGCCCTTTGTTTCCTGGCGGGGGGTCTCTCAGGGGTGGGAGACTGGGCTCATTTCAGACCCACCCAAGCTTGTCCCGGCTGGCAGGGATCTAGAACCTGCCTGCAAGCTTCCTCCTTACACAAGGCAATCGCACTTCTAAAGTGGAGCAGGCTGGGAGAGAGGCGGCCCAGGCCGGGCAGAGGAGAGCACTTAGCACAGGTGCTGCAGCGCTCCTGGCTAAGGCCAGCACCAGCCAAGCAGCTGGGGCACCCAGCAGGCCAGGCTCTGCTAACGAGACAATTCACACCTACACAGGGAGAGGGAGAGCAGAAGCAAGGCCTCCCATAGCGCCCCCTCCTCCTGGGAAGCCCAGGATAGACTAACAGCACCCCCAGAGCAGCCCCACACCACAGGTGTGACAAGTTGAAACATCTCCAGTGAGCCCCCTCCCTCCCTTAACACCCCCCCCCAAAAAACCCCACAGGTTATAGAGTTAAGGGATGAAGACACTGCAGGGCTGAACAAGTCTCTTGGCTCACCAAAGGAAGAAAGACCCAGTGCAGGGGCATGCCCTGCCCCGCCCCCTCTACCCCTGCTGGAGGTCAGCAACCAGGAACCTGCCAGAACAAACGCAAAGCCCTGAGTCAGACCTGCTTCCTTCACCAGGGACCTAATGAGACAACACTTTGGGGAATCGCAAGAGAGCTCCTTTGTGGCTGTGTGTGTGTGTGTGTGTGTGTGTGTAACAGCAGGAGGATCAGACGGGAAGCTATTCATGATCCGAGAGTTGCCACGCCATTGTGTGGACTGTGAACGGAGGGATTAACCTTGACTGTGAATGCTGGAAGACAGCATCCTCTCCGGACAGCTAGCGGTCCACTGGATGCTGTCCATGGTGGAGAAAAAGGAAAGCCTTACCTTCGGCACTGTGTGAGCAAAAAATAAAAAAAACGCTGTCGGGAAGGGTGGGGTGCACAGCTGTCGGGAAGGGTGGGGTGCACAGCTGTCCCCCCCCCCCCGCGCGCTGGCTCAGGGTGAGCGACTCACAAAAGGAACAAAGGAAGGAGGCCGCGGTGAGTGAGCTCACACGGGGCCGAGAGAAGGGAGGGCGAGGCGGGAAGGCCGCCGGCCCCGGCCTCCAG